ACGGAGGCGGCACGGCCCATCCCTCAACACCCCCCCCCACACACACCCTGTACCCTCAGCACCTCAAAACACACAAACATACACACATACACACACACGCGCACCTTGGCAGTCTGGTGCGCTGCGTGTTTGGCGATCAGCTCCGCCTGCGGGAGCCGCCCCATCAGAAGTAACACGCGAGCCACTCGCACCAGACAGTGCGCAGCCTGGGGGGAGTCCGAGCCCAGAGCTTCGGCCTGGGGAAAACCCGGGGGAATGTCAGGGTTTTAGGGTTTTAAGGTCCGTGGGGGTCAGGAGGAAGGGGGAGGGGGATACATGAGAAGGGAAAACCCACAGCGGTGGGGTGAGTAAAAATCTAAAACCCTAAACTGATCCGGGAGAAACGAAACACCCGTGTACATACAAACATACAAACGTACATACGGGGATAATTATCCACGTCACTTAAAGAGGTGGTGGCATCATTTGACGGGTTCCCAGCCACCTCCACAACTCTTTTCCCCCCACCCTACCCACCCCCCCACCCTCTGAAACCCCCTCCCCATTTTTCCCCTCCCCCCTCACCACCACACACACACACACACCCCGTCACCCCGCCCGTACTCCATTGACCGCCCTCTGACCGTTAGCGAGTGAGCTTGGAGGCAAAGACTCAGCGCTTCACGCTGCTTGCCCGCCTCTGCAGCAGCAGCAGCCACCCCCTCGAGATCACTCGCCACCTCCATCGCCTGCTCTGGGCTAAGCCCGGTACTCACGTCCAACATCTGAACGAAAGAATGCAGAGAAAACAGTAATCATAAGCACCAACAACATATTTTAACAACATATTTTATCGACGTATCGACAAATACCATCACCGGGAAGCTCCCAGTTAGGTGGATGCAATCAGAGGGAAAGAGAGAGAGGGAGTGCGAAGTGCAGCGCACGCGTGGCGAGGTGCATGAGTGTATGTGCGTTAGCGAACCGAGCAGATGTATGTATGTATGTATGGGTGTATGTATGGGTGTATGACATTGATTACACTGTGGGCTGAAAAGCCGGGGGCCCAGGGCCGAAACACAGCGCGGGGGGCGGATGCACACGGCGGGTTAGTCTCGTGCACTGGCCCCCCCCGGGTCAGGCCGCACGGGAAACGACGGCCGGCACACATCAGCGCTCTCCTCCGGGGGGTGGCGCTCCAGCTAGACGGGATCTATGCCCGCTGGTCTCCTAGCATAAACGAAGTCGCAACCGGGGGGCTCTTCCTGCCGACCGAACGTACCGAGCACCCCAGAAAGCTCGCAACCAGGACCTGGGCGACCGGGAGCCCGACGAGGTCACCGAGCTCAAAATTCTCACACAAAAAGAGCGCAAAGAGCTCACACCACAAGACGCCTCCTGAGTCTACCACCCTCCCCCGCCCCTCGCGTATGTATGGGTGTATATATATATACATATATATACATACATGTATACACTGTATATATATAACTATATATGTTATTTATACATATCCTTGCCCACATGTCCAGGCATCATGGTGTAGTGGAATCACACCTGTCTTACACACAGGAGGCCCCCAGATCGAAACTGGGTGATGTCAATTTTCTTATTCAGATCAGGCACAACTGCTCAGAATGGACTATTGCCCGCGGGAGATCCCAGGAATGAAACCTGCTAGAGTCAAAAACACCCCCGATGGTGGAAAGTAAGCTGTTCCTAGTCGAAGGACGGTGGTGACCTGGATAAAGTTGACTCGCGAGCCGACCAGGAATGGAGTTGGGCCGCCGTCAATGCGGTAGATTCCGTTGGATGCTGGTGGTGGATGCGGGACCAAAGCGGTCCACTGAGAAGTTGACTAGGGTGACTAGATGAGGGTGCCCCGAAATACCGGGGAATGCAGGGTTTCGCCAGGTGGCGGCCACGGGTGAAGATATGCCCCCCCTGTCCCACACATCAGACATACATACATGCATACATACATAGGGTCCTAGGAGCTGTGTGTCGTGGCAACGCTATCGCTTTTGTGGTCTCGCCGGTCTATCCCGGGCTCCTGCAGTGGTGATCGGGTTCGTGCGTGGTCCCTTTCCTTTGTACGGCTACTTCTCCCCTGGACCAGCCCAGGAAGGGAGAGGTAAAGGAGGTCAGTTGCTGTGAGGTGGCTGCAAGACGTCTTGCAAGATGTTGGTTTCGAGCTCTCTAAACCTTTCTCTCTTGGAGGTTTTTTGTTGGTTGGTTAGGTGTATCAGGAGCCCTCCCCTACCTGGGCTGCCCTAACCGTCTTTTTCTTTTTTGTTTTTTTCCTTGGGATCCCTTTGTCGTTGGTTGTGTTTTGGGGGGTAGTTTCAGAGAGCCTTTGCCCTAGCTGAGACTTGTGGACTCGCTCTAGCGGGACCGCAGAACCCTTCATGGTGTTTTCACTGCAGCGCCATCCCAGGATAGAGGGGCTGCGTAGTGGCTGCGTAGTGTGTTGGCAGTCTGAGTCGGGGTCGGGAACACACAAGACTAAACGACTTGTGCTGTGTGCTCCCGACCCTTGCGCTGTGTTTCGGCTTCGGCCCCCGGCTCTCGAGGCCCACAGTGTAATCTAAGTCATACATACATACATACATACATACATACATACATACATACATACATACATATACACATTCACCTTGAGCTCCGCCCTTGCTGCCGCTGCCCGCTGGCTGAGGGCCGTAGCGCCCACCGCCAGCGCCAGCAGCACGCTGTCAGCCGCCCGGGCGACCTTGGGGTCGGACATGTCGGTAGTGGAGTCGGCCACACCGCCACTTCCCAAGGAAGCGCCCTTGAGCAGCTGTATCGCCGCAGCCACATCCGCAGGGTCGGGAGCACCCAGCGCGCCCAGCCGACTGGACAGACCCGTGTCCTCATCCCCATCCAAGCCCTGCGTGTGTGCGCGGCAGGTGACTCAGCAACAGATGACAACGGCCAGCAACGGACCGTAACGCCCAGCAACGGATGATGACGGCCAGCAACGGGCAACAAGGGATGATAACGGATCACAACGGCCAGCAACGGACGGATGATAACGGCCAGCAACAGGCAACCCGGATAATAACGGATAGCAACGGCCAGCAAAGGATCGTAACGGCCAGCAACGGGCAACAACGGATGATAACGGCAGGATCAAGTTTCGGGCAAGGGGGGATTTAAATTGCAGAAAACATGTCGTTTGTGGGCCGGGAGGGGGCCGGGAGATTTCGTGCATGTAGGGGTGTCTGTGTGGCGGGAAAGACTGCTAAGGCTGCTCCGGAATCAAAAAACAGCACGTGGAATGCAGGATGATTTGGCGGCTTCATTGCACTGTTACATCAATCAATCAAAAGCAGGACACGTTTATCCTTTAGAGATGGTGAAGTTTTACGCTTAGTGATGTTAGCTCCTTCAATATTTCTGTAAGACTTTTGGATGACAATGTCAACGAAGTCGAAGATAACAAAGTCGAACGGCATTTCATGGCTAGGACAACCGTAAACGAACTGGCTAGAAATAACCTTTTTCCCTAACGGAGAGTTCGGTAATAGAAAGTTGACTTCAGCCACGTCTTTTTTCTAAAACCAAGTAGCTGTCCTAGATCGCTCGCCGCAACTGGACGAGGATTGTCCGTTGAGAACAGTGGAATCCTCGTGAGGTTGGCTTCATTGCTGTTGCATCCCTTCCTAAGACGCAACAGCAATGAAGCCAAACAAATACAGCAAGCAGATAAAACGGCCGAGGCGACGGCACCTGGCGACTGAGTGCATCAGTCATCGGACATGTTAAAGCTCGGCCTCCGGGCCTCAGCTGCGCCACCTTAATCCGTTCGCAACTATATGTGATGCCCCTTTTGGTACGGTTTAGCTCCTTGCGAGGTGGCAGCCAATCCCAGCATACCTCCGGCAGCGCAGCGCCGGCCAAGGCGCCAATGTCCCGCCAAGACACTCGGGAAAGCGTCCGGAGCTTGCTAGCTCCATCCTTCAATAGAATGCCTACAATATTACACAAAATTTCGGCCGGTTTTATGGAAAGTTCCACCCGCACGTCACGAGTAGCACTGACAGGCAATCTTAAAACAGTCAACGCTTACCCTTTACGCTGTCCTTAGGTAGCGGCGAACTCGAACCCCGGTCATAGGCAACGACATCTGCGCAGATAAAGGTGAAGACCATAATTCCAGTCAGGCCCTTGTCACTAGTACTCTGCGGTTCCGCTGCATACCTCTGGCCATTCGAACCGATTTTGGCGAGGCGACGACTTCTTCATCCTTACTGGAGCAGTTTCCCATTAGGGGGCGAAGCCAAGTTGACGGATAGCACGACCAACAAGTCAACCAGCTGCGTCTATCCTCCGATCCTTACAATATCAACAATGTTCAGTCATTTTGCCTTAGTTTGGAAAGCCATCCAGCAGTTTTTGAGCTTTCTCGTCAGACATATAAGTTTGGAATGCTCATATCCCATAGGCAGGAAATGAAATCATGCTTACTTTTAAAGAAAGATGAATGAATTTCAACTTTTCCAGGTTATGTCAAGAAAGGTTGTTGGGCGTCAAAAGTCACGTGCGTTTCTACCCGTTAGAATGATCCATGAGAAAAACACATTGAGCAAAAGGTGATATTGAACACAAAGAATCGTTCTCAACGTTGCTCCCTTCGCTCAGATGTTGTACAGGAATCGCTTTCCGTCCATGCCAACAGACCATCTAATGACCGCCACACAGAATAGCACACGCACACTATCCCACAAAGTGAAGCTGAAGATATGCCATATCATTATCCTTTATGCTGGCAGGTTCACAGATGTCACAGATGAAGACCTCCGCGGTTGAGACCACAGAGAGAGAGAGAGTGATTCAGATAGCTAAGCTTCTGAATCCCCAGACAGCGCATGCCGCAATACTTAAGGAAACAAAACCGCGGACATAAATCACATTACTTCAAACGTAGACAGGTATGCAATATCGCAACGGGATGAAAAGCACATGGCTACGAGGACCCGTACGGCCTAGTCGCGCTCCATTCAAAGTTTTAACCGCTTGGCAGGTGCGTCTCCGGCCACCAACTCGCCATCGCGTTTGAATTTTGCTGCAGTCTTGTTCCTGATATCGTCCAGAGTGTCGTCCTCCCGAGCGTACTCGACCACTAGCCGGCGGCCGTAAAGATGGGTGCCAGCCAACCCTAGGGATGTTCAATAGGTACAACACAACAACAAAAATTCGCACAAAGAATAGTACGACGCAAAGATTGGCAAACACAAGTATGGACAGCACCCAGCTCATTAAAAAAAGCTGTTCATGGCAGCAAAAGGTGCTGCGGCTAGCTAGGAGATGTAGCTAGGAGATGTGTGGTCTTTGGGTTTGGTTAACGCGGTGCACCTGCATAGGTGATTCGGTTTCAATAATTCATTGATTTACTCCCGTTGGAAAAAGTGACCGACACACTCGCATATATAACACCGGTGACAATGGCGACAGCAGTAATAGGACCCGCGGGGGAGGGGGAGGTCTGTGGCGCTTTGCTGTGTTTAACAACTCGTGCATGAGGACCTGCAGAGGACTTGCAACAAATAGGAACACGGAACAGACATACAGACATACCTCCCAAGGCATGCGTGCATGCTCGCCCACGTCCCCCTTCCCCCCACACCTGGCAGCAGCTTCAATCGTGTCTGGTTCGTCTTTCCCCCCACACCCACACCCGATACACAAACCCTACCACCCAGCCTGCCATCTGCATGTGCCACCTGCAACTCCACACTAACCCCACTCCACCCCCACGCTGAGCCGAGCAGCCGAGCCAGGCCGCCACACACACACACATACGTACACACACAGCCATACACAGACATACACAGCCATACACATATACACACAGCCATTACCCACAAACCTTCCAGGGCGTTCTTCGCCTCTTGCTTCGTCACAAACTCCACAAACGCAAACCCCCGGTGGCTGCCGTCGAATTTCTTCGGGAGGCGACATGACTTCAAATGTCCGAACGGGTTGAACAGCCCTTGGATGTCCCTGTCAGGGCAGGGCAGGGCAGGGCAGGGCAGGGCAGGGCAGGAGAGGTCAGGGCAGGGCAGGGGAGGGCAGGTCAGGGCAGGGCAGGAGTCGCCGTAAACACGCAGGCGGACGAAAGCGGAAGAGAGAGAGAGAGAGAGAGGGATTAAGAGAGAGAGAAAGAGAGAAAAAAGAAAAAAGGAAGTTACTGGATAAAAAAGGATGTTACTACTCGTGCCCACCGTTCTATACAGCTCCCGAAACGTTCACAACAACGACATGTAAAACGCGATGACTAGTACACGGTACAATACAGTACAACACAGTACAACACAGTATGTAGATGTCTTACTTTTTCGTGGCCTCGAATGCCAAGTTCCGTACAACCAGCTTGGTGCTGCTGCCGTCCTGACCGCCTCCTTTCTTGGCTGAACCACCACCACCACCACCACCGGCCGCCGCCGCCGCCGCCGCCTTGGCGCCCGGGGCTGAAGACCCGGCCCCCGCAGCAGCGGATTTGCGGCCCCTACTTATCTGCAGCACCAGCTTGTGGCCATCCAACACGCTGCCCTGCATGGAGACGAAACCAGCGGTCCGTCGGATTGCATCAACGGGTCACTTTGTCCGTCCGTCAGTTTGTCAAGGAAGGGTATTTTCCGTGTCGTGTCGTGTCGTGTCGTGTCGTGTCGTGTCGTGTCGGTCTTACATGCGTTGATAGACATGAAGGCGCCAAGTTTGGTTCGGTCCGGTCCTAAATAGGCTTTGGTCCGGTCCTAAATAGGCTTTGGTCCGGTCCTAAATAGGCTCGTGAGGGCCCCCAATCGGCCCCGCCTGGTGGGGGACACCCACCCACCTCGACCCTTTAACAACAAAGTGGGTAGGATACCACGACTTCACCAATTTATTGGATCTCCACACGTGTCCAAACAACCCACAACGGCCTGCCCGACGTACACAAGCAGCATCGCAGTCGCCGCTACCTACTGCTTCTTGCCGTAGCCCAGTTGTTGTGAAGCCCAGCACCACCACTCCGCACACACATACCCACACGTACAAACATACAAACATAATACACACATACATACATACATACATACATACATACATACATACATACATACATACATACATACATACATACATACATACATATCCGTACACAGACAAAATCTGCGTGCATGTTTTTGCTCTAGTTGTGACGCTCCTTTGCGTGCTTTCAACAAACGCAAAAAGAATGTGCGACACCCCGCTCGCTGCCACCTCACCTGCAACTTCTTTATGACCGCCGCCGCCACCGCCTCGCTGTCAACTTCCACAAAGCCGTACCCCAGGCTCTGTACTGCCGTACCGCCGCCGCCGTCCTTGCCCGTGCCCGGCACCTTTTTGCGGGCCACCAACGCGCTGTGCAGGGAGCCTCCCGCCGCCGCCACCGCCGCCTCAAAGTGCTTCCGCAGCGGGGTGTCGCCCGTGGAGAAGGCCAAGTTCTTCACGTAAATGGTCCCCAATACGGCAGGGTTGGCGGCGGCATCGCCGTCATCGTCCGCGGCGGCAGTGACAGCCTCCTCGATCTCCGTGGCGGCCTTGGCGTCTGGCGGGCAGGGCGGGGCAGAGGGCAACACAAACCTGGCGGCATGCGGCATGCGTTTCCTACCAAAGATATTCAAAAAGTGTGTGAACTGTAACAGCAGCAGCATTGAGCGTCATGCAGCCTCCTGGCGAGAGCGCACACATACATACATACATACATACATACATGCATGCATGCATATATACATACATGCACACAGCGAGATACGGGTGCCACGACGTGTTCAAATAAAGCCCTTTCCATTTTGCCTCTTGAAGCCCCTCACCTCTCCCCCCTCCAGACGTTTTGTCCGCAGCCTCCGCCCGTTGGTTTGGGGGGTGTTGGTGCTGCTGCTCCTTGGCGGGCGGCGGCGCAGCGAACACGTCTGCCGGCGCCCACTCCAGGTACAACGGCACGTGGTGGTACTTCTTGTACGCCAAGGACCTGGGGGCGCATCCACATCACACGCAATCCACACACGCACAACTTCACTTGCATGCACATGACATGGCATGGCATTACATCGCATGACATGACATGACATGAGGCAGGTGGTGTGCGTAGATGCTGCATCTTGCAAGAGAACAAGCTAACTACCCTCTTCTGCTTCGTCCTCCTCCCTCCTCCTCCTCTTCCTCTTTCTCCTCCTCTTCCTCCACTTCCTCTTTCTCCTCCTCTTCCTTCTCAGTCGACTGGGGCAGCCACCGCAACAACAAAACCCTCTACAGCCAGCCCATCCCGGGCCCCCACCACCACATCCCACCCCAGCCATCTCAATTCCCCCCCCCACCACCACACACACACCATCTCGCTCCATGGCATCCCTCATCCCCCCGAAATCCCAAGAGCCCAATTCATCCTCACTTAAACGCCGCCCTCGCATCCTGCGGCTCGGCAAACTCCACGAGCGCCAAAGCTCTTGCCGGCGGCAACACCAGCCGAGAGACAGGGCCATGCCGCCCAAACAACTCCACAAGTTCGTCGTCGTTGGCGCTATACGGCAAGTTTTTAACGAGCAGTGCCGTACCACTGCGTGCCACGGACCGCGTGGCCGCGGCCTTACCGCTGGCGGCAGCTGCGCGCTCCAACGCTTCCACACAAACGCCTGTGAATTTACGTACGACGTAGTGTACGACACCGAAAGCATCTTGGAGCAAAACCGAGAAAAGAGGATTAATTAAAGAAAACAAATCTTATACAAACCTTGCACACATACCATGGAAGAAGCAATAACCTATAAAAATTAATTATTTTAAAATATTGAAATATTATAAACAAAACTAACACTAAACTAGTCACAAAAATAATTACAATACTAGAGATAGAAGCGACTCATAAAACTAATAACAAAAACCTAATAACAAAAACTCACAATAAAACTTGCCATTAAGCCCTTTTCATACCCTTTTACGCACCCGCCTCAGCGAGCGCTTGCTTGGTCGCCGCAATGACCTGCGCCTCCCCCAGCGCCATCCGTACAGCCACGCTCTCCCCTCCGGCACCCGACGCCGATGGATCGAGTAGCGCCGCCTTGCTGAGCCCGTAGTGCGCCGCCACCGCATCCGCTACCGTATCCGCTCTCATGAACAACGTGTTCCATGCAGACCGATTGCCCGCATCCGCCTTACGCTGCGCCTCGCGCTGGGCCTTGAAGGACGAGATGCCGCCGCCGCCGCCGCCGCCTCCGGCGGCGGCG